TAAAACTTAGCATGAGAAATTATAAGTCCGATGATAACTATGTAAAAGTTAATATGAGAAATTATAAATTATAAGTCCGATAACAACTATGTAAAAGTTAGTATAAGATATTATAAGTCTGATGTTGCCTCAAGCATCATATGAAGATCAATACTAAAAGACAGAAGTCATGAGCATAAGTAGAGAGCAACAGACCATCGACATAAAGATTCTAGATCACAGCCTAAAACAAGTGCAAGAATTTAAATACTTGGGAAGTATCTTTACATTCAATGGTAAAATAGACAGAGAGATCGAAGCAAGAATCCAACAAGCCAACAATGTCGCATACCAGCTTGCCCCAATTTGAAAACACCCTGCTGTCCCAGCTGAGATAAAAAGACAAATTATAAATACAATCTTTATACCGACATTAGGTTATCAATGTCAGACTTGGACATTAACAAAAGAACACGAGAGAAGACTAACCACCTGTGAAATGAGATGTTTGAGAATGGCTGCGAATAAAACCAGAAGAGATAGAGTGAGAAACGATGTGTTTACAAGAACTATTGGAACCATATCCATCGTTAAATTTATTGAGAAGCAAAGAATGAAATGGTTTGGTCACCTAATGAGAATGGAACCAACGATGCCAGCATCAAGAGTATACAACATGAAAATCGAAACACCAAGAGGCAGGGGAAGACCAAGAAGAAGATGGATTGAAGGAGTCACGGACAACTTGAGACTTCATAACATCACGGCATATGAAGCGACTGAGCGCGCCCTGGCTCGGTTGCCGATCGTCTGATAGACTGCGACGCCTAGCGGCACAAGCAGATTTTGACAAAAGAAGAAGATAAGTCTGATGATAACTATGTAAATGTTAGTATGAGAAATTATAAGTCCGATGATAACTATATAAAAGTTAATATGAGAAATTATAGGTCTGATAACTATATAAAAGTTAATATGAGATCTTATAAGTCTAATAATAACAATGTAAAAGTTAGTATGAGATATTAAGTCTGATGATAACTATTTAAAAGTTATTAAGTTCGTTGTTAAGTTTGAATATGACTGAATCTTCAATATGTGTTCATGTAAAACAAGCTTACGTTGGCTAAACAGACAAATCTGGAAGAAAGGCGAAGTGAAGATGCACCGCACTTCTTTAATAAGATTAAAAGAGGCTGCTACAACAGATGAAGTCAAGAGAAAGTTTGCAGAAATATTAGGCTACATTTCCAGGGCCCTATTATAGGGAAAACAAGAATAGACCCACTGCCTACCCAAAAGCATGTCGTAAGAGTTGACTAATTGGGAGCTTCCCTCAAAGTCGGAGTGCATCTGCCTAAGAGGCAAGGAACCAGCAGTCTGCATAAAAATGAGTCAGATCTGTAAAACTGATCCACATGCAACACTCAGGTTCTGGAACAGGACTACAGTTTAGTAGTGGATGAACAACCAGAACTTTCCGCCAGAGTTTACAGCTGGTGAACGCGGAGAAAAAGAAGACTACGCTACACTAAATAGGAGTTTCTGAAGAAATACTACAACCATCTGGTCAAAAAAATAACTGATACAACATTATTGTTATTCTTAATGATACATAGCATCTTCTTAGCTATTCTATTACACTCACTTGTCCTCCTTTGCAATCTTGTCCATTTTGAATGAAAACATCAGCTGGACAATACTCGGACCCTCCATTACAAAACTCTGCCAAATCACATTCACTAACAGGCTCTCTGCACAATGTTGAAGCTGACTTTGGCTGTTAAAATATAGAGTTTGTTGCATTTTCTCAAGGAAATTACTCCTTAAAGTCTTGTTTATAAAGGAGCTGTCTCAGTGCAAGGGCTAGTGGCTTACCACAAATGGGAAACTCAGTTGCCAATCAGAAGGTGGTAGGGTCTGGTCATTGCATTAACACCACAAGCGTTCTTTTCAGGGCAACTTGGTGGCGAGGAGTTTTTATTTTAGCCACGAGTATTGCGTAAATAAACGCAGACTAAAATATAACCAAAAGCTCCACCTTAGGGTATGCTGGTTGAATGTTGTCAAGGTTTTTCCTCCCACTAATGAACAGCAATAGCTAGTATAAATGCTTGCTACCAGCACAGAGTTCTGATTCTCCTAGTGTGGACATTTTCTTTCACTGGCTTGGGCTCTCTAGTAGCCGCAACTTAATGTAAGTGCCCAGGTAATTTTGAAAAGTTGACTGGTGCGATAATTATCAAACTGACTATAAATACTAACATATGGTGTGAAAAAAAAGGCCTTTCCATACATTACAAAAATGTGTTTTTAAATATAAAAACACATTTATCTTCTTATTCGCATTCGCTGGCTAAAATTTCCGCAGAAAGTTCTGGTTGTTTGTCCACCTCAGAACTTTACTCCTGTTAAAGAACCTGAGTGTTGCTTGCACATTCATTTTATAATCTGGCTTATTTGTATACATACTTGTGGTTGCTTGCCTCTCAGGCAGATGTACTCTGACTTCAAAGGATGTCCCCAGTTAGTCGACTCCTATAACATGCTTGTTAGAGAGGCAGTCGGCCTACTTTTATCACATTTATCTTATATTAAATAAATATATGAGTCAACTTTTTAAAAACAAATACTTTATTTTCAAATGTTTACGAGCTGAACATGTTGACCTATATTACACTCAGCTTTTATCTCTCTCCTTTCACATACTATTCCTGTCATCACTGGCAGAAAAAAATATCATTTAAAGTAATTAACGTCGACAGAAAACAAAGAAGTAAATTTAAACATGTAGTGTCAATATTCACATAACAAGAAAAAAAATTGAACAGAGAAATCAATTTACATTGTGTGCAGACAAGTCAGGAATGGGACTCACAGACACAGAACAAAGAAGTGGATTTAAACATCTAGGGTCAGTTTTCACACAACAAGGAAAACATAAACAGAGAAATCAATTTATGATGTGCACAGACAAATCAGGAATGGGACAACTTACATCACTTCTGACACACTGAATATACCTAAGTCCTTGAAGTCACATTTTTATAAAAACTAGTGTTCGCCACCCCCACCTTCAAAAATATTTCTACCAGTGCCAATCATGAACCTTTATTACAACAAATGAGTGGATTATCATAAAAGAGATGAAATGTCTTAGGAGAGCTTCCGGAATTAAAAAAAATTAAATTTAAAGGTAGGTAGGCCGGTAGGAGTTATATACCCCACCAGGACATCACACAAGCAATAAACACACGGTGACACAAAGTGCCACCATGGGGATGAGGATCACCCATGGAGAGGTCCCAAAAACCCCTTTCAGCCGTTAGGCCTTATCTATGCCCCAGCTATATTCAGGGCCCCATGCAGAAGCCAGGGTGGGGCTTCAAATAACAAAAAAAATTGCATCCCACTTGAGGACGACTTCAACAGTAACCAGCACAATAATTTAAAATGACACCAGAGACAGACTAGGAAAATGACATTGGAGAAAGACTAGGAAAATGACATCAGAGAAAGACTAGGAAAATAATATCAGAGAAAGACTAGGAACATGACAGAGAAAGACTAGGAAAAGGATATCAGAGAAAAACTAGGAAAATAATTTCAGAGAAAGACTAGGAACATGACAGAGAAAGACTAGGAAAATAGTATCAGAGAAAAACTAGGAAAATAGTATCAGAGAAAAAATAGGAAAACGAATTCAGAGAAAAACCAGGAAAATGACATCAGAGAAAAACTAGGAAAATGACAGAGAAAGAGACTAGGAAAAAAAATATCAGAGAAAGACTAGGAAAATAATATCAGAGAAAAACTAGGAAAATAATAATAGAGGAAAAACCAGGAAAATGACATCATAGAAAAACCAGGAAAATGACAGAGAAAGACTAGGAAAATAAAAATCAGAGAAAAATATATTAGAAAAATTAGAGACTGATTGGCCCTTTCTGTCTTTCCAGACGATAGTGTTATATTGCACTATGAGGAGGCATGGATTCACAGCATATGGCGATGGTGAGTATGACTAGCAAGACCTGCCTGTGTTAAGAAAAGTATTCCATAGTTATAGCATGGGATTTCAGGACCGCTGTTGTCAACATCTGTGTTCAGTCTGTTTCTTTTCAGACTCTCAGCTCTTATCCTTTCTTCCTTTATTCTCATTCCCCTCCGGATGTGTCCCCTCCACACAACACAGTCATTGGCATTTTGTTCCCACGAGTCCACCTCAATACCTATATAAACCATGTCTCTCTTGCACATGTCTTTATATTGCAGTACAGGTCCACCTCGACATCTACTCGTCTTTAATTCACTATAAAGAATGTCCTTAGGGACTCTGCCATCTTCAATTCTCCAGGTGTGACCCAGCCACCTGAGCCTTTGTAGACTGAGCATTGAGAAGACTGTTTTAACAGATATTAGAGAAAAACTAGGAAAACGACATTAAGAGAAACACTAGGAGTAAAAACCAGTCATTAAAGACGAAAAGATCAGGTGGTCTGACGATCTGATCAGAATGCCTAGTACCAAGTGTCACAGAGAATGATGCTGTAGAAATGTATAAACACTGCACGGGGCAAGACCATAAATAAATGGAATCATGAAGAAATAGACTACACATTATGATTATCACAACTTTGAAAAGTATACTTAAAGCGTATTAAATGCACCGATCTATACTCCTACAATATGTTACAATTAGTACATAAAGCTACACAAAATAAAATAACTAAAAGCAAATGATAAGCATAAACATCCATTACTGAAAAAGAAAAACATTCTATAAATCCCAATTGTAACTCTCATGGGTTGAACGTGATATTGTTGATTGAATTACTACTACTACTAACTTGAAGGAATGAAGCCCAACTTATATAACACATTAACATGAACACACAGATGATCCTTACATCTCTTCCTTCTCCACCTTACATCTCTTCATTCTCAAAACACATTGTTGAAGTATCTGCTTCCAACTTTGTAATTAAACAAATACATGTAAGCTGGAAAAAAAAAGTTACCTTGCATGTATCAAGATCACAACATCGTCCTGTAGCACATTTAGCAAGTGGATGTAGAGTGCAGGATGAAGCATTACAGCAGCGGTTGGTGCAATCCTAATAGACAGAAATGATTGATGATTGTTGTCTTTAATTCTTAGAACATTTCCTGGGGCACGTTTTAGAGTAGGTCAACCTGGGAAGCATGGTGGCCAGATACTTGCCTGCCAGTGCATCAAATCTCCACAAAGTCAGATTTGTTTCAAAACTGCCCTTGCCTCGCAGGTCAAGGCAGCCAAGTAATGTCTTGTGAAGTAAAGGCCGCCGGCATGATGCTGACCACATCACCCACTGAGTCCTGACTGGTCTGTTAAAACATGAGTCTAGTATCACACGCCCAGTGCATCACTTTATTTTTTTTTAACCTTATAATCTGGGATGGGTTTGGTCCCTGACAAGGGCCAGATTTGTTAAAAAAATAACCTTGGCTCCCAGGTTGACCCATCCTTAAGTGGATACCAGGTACAGTCCTAAGACTGACCACATCACCCACCAAGTGCTTTTTGTGTATAAAATATAGGTCTACCCAATACGACTGAAATGCGTGGAAAAGGGTCCTTTACTTTACTTTTATAACCTGGGAGCCTTAATACACTTGAAGAGAGGAAATGGGGGGGGGGGGGGGGGGGGGGGGGGGGGGGGGGGGGGGGGGGGGGGGGGGGGGGGGGGGGACTAGGCAACAGGCAAGTATATTAGCTCTTAGTTAGTTAGTCTTTCCTCTTTAGCTTAGGGCAGAGGTCATAGCTCTCCATGTCTGGCAGTTCATTGCCACCTGTTTTAGGTCTTGGATGTTCATCTGGCCCTTGGTTGAGCCTTCCCTGATAATGGTTCTTTGCAAAGTCTCTCTTCGTCTTCCCTGTTTTCTTTTCTTTTCCGGTGTCCATATGAGGGCTTGATGGGGGAGTCTGGTCTTATCCATTCTTAGTGCATGGCTGATGTAGTTCCAGCGGCGCCTTCTTATAAAATTTGATATACTATCTTGCTGGGTCTCTGGACGTATTTGCGTTTTAGATCTGAAATCTGTCCAGTGATTTAGTATTTTTCTAAGACATCTGTTCTCAAAATTATCTATATTAGCTCAGAATAATGATTATTTTTGTGAAATAGTAGTAACAAAGTTAAATTAAGCACATATTGTGCACAAAACAGACGTACCTGAGGAAGGCCACAGTCACACTCCTCTCCATCCTCCTTGAATCCATTACCGCAGATTGGACCATCATAGATACTGGCTGGAAGGTTGCGCAGACAGTAGTCCATGCCTAGATCAAAGGCTTCAGCCAATGCATTCTGGGAGCAAGATGACCACCTCCGAGGGCTAATTTGTCTGGAATTAATGTTCAGGAGAAGATCTAATTTAGTCTTACACTGATAAAATATTGATTAGTAGTTGAACATGTGATTTAATCATTACACTGATAGAACACTGATCAGTAGTTGAACATGTGATTTAGTCAGACACTGATAGAACACTGATCAGTAGTTGAACATGTGATTTAGTCATTACATTGATAGAAAACTGATCAGTAGTTGAACATGTAACTTAGTCATACATTGATAGAACACTGATCAGTAGTTGAACATGTGATTAAGTCATTACATTGATAGAAAACTGATCAGTAGTTGAACATGTGACTTAAGTCTTACATTGATAAAACACTGATCAGTAGTTGAACATGTGATTTAGTCTTACAGTGATAACACACTGATCAGTAGTTGAACTTGTGATTTAGTCTTATACTGTTAGAAGACTGATCAGTAGTTGAAAATGTGACTTAGTCTTACACTGATAGAACACAGATCAGTAGTTGAACATGTGATTTAGCCTTAAATTGATAACACACTGATCAGTAGTTGAACATGTGATTTCATCTTACACTGATAACACACTGATCAGTATTTGAGCATCTGATTTAAATTAGTCTTACAGTGTTAAAAACATAGATAAGTAGTTGAATATTTGATTTTGTCTTATACTGACAAAACACAGATCATTAGTTGTATGATTTAGTCTCACACTGACAAAATATAGATAAGGAGTTGAATATTTGATTTTGTATCACATTGACAAAACATAGATCATGAGTCGAATATTTGATTTTGTCTTATGTTACAACTGACCCATGATGTATTACCCCCCCCCCCCCAAAAAAAAATGCTATGAGTCACATTGTGGAAGAGATTGGGGCACCACCATGTCATAGTTCCAAAGCCTGCGTATCCACCATATTGGACCAGAATAATAGTTCGCTGGCAAAATGTATATTTGCTGAAATATTTTGGGGTTATTATGCTGCTTGACTGATTTTACATATAACAATATCTCATTAAGATTTTATATATTTTCTCACCATAATTAAATACTCTGTAACATCATGATTCTATGCACTGTGTCACTAAGATTCTACACATGCTCTTACCATGATTCTATGCATTATCTCACCAGACTACTCTACACGTAGTCTCATAAATATTCTACACATTGCCTCACCAAGACTCTGTGTTTGTTTCTGTGTGTGTTTCTGCATGTGTTTCTGTGTGTGTGTGTGTGTATGTGTCTGTAAATGTCTGTGTGTGTGTGTTTGTGTCTGTGGGTGTGTCTCTGTGTGCCTATGTATGTATGTATGTATGTATGTATGTATGTATGTATGTATGTATGTATGTATGTATGTATGTATGTATGTATGTATGTATGTATGTATGTATGTATGTATGTATGTATGTATGTATGTATGTATGTATGTATGTATGCATTTGTGTATGTATGTATGTTTGCATGCATGTATGTATGTATATGTGTATGGCATATGTGTGTGTGTATGTAATATGCATGTATATATGCAGGTGTGTGTGAGTGAGTGGGCATGTGAATGTGAGTGTGTGTATGCATTTTACCACTGATGCTTTTGTGTTTTTTCTTGATATTGACAATATGCATATTATTATATGAACATAACATACTTTATTGATACAGCTCCTGTGTGAAAAATGGGTGTTTGAGAGACTCGAATGTAAGACGGGCCTGTGTGCCCAATTGGTGACCTTTTAAAAATAAAGTTTGTTCATTCGTCATTATTGTATACATTCTCTCATCATGATTCTACACAATGTCTTTTAAAGACTAACATACAGTCTCACTGAGATTATAAAAAAATGTGCGTACATGTGCGCACGGCCACACACACACACGTACTTAATAAAACTTACCCACTTGTGGCCGCCATTATGCACTTATCATCCCTACACTCACACATGGTATCATTATCATGTTCCATGCCAAAATTATGTCCCATTTCATGTGCCACAGTAGTAGCTACCAGATTCACAAGACCTCCATAATCCTAAAATGAAACAAACTGAACTGGTCCAATATTTGCATCGCAGTTTATACAGTGAGTACACATCACAGTTTATACAGCAAGCACACCACAGCACAGTTTATACAGCAATCACACAGCACAGTTTATACAGCGAGCACACATCACAGTTTATACAATGAGCACACATCACAGTTTATACAGCGAGCACAGCACATCACAGTTTATACAGCGAGCACACCACATCACAGTTTATACAGCGAGCACACATCACAGTTTGTACAACGAGCACACATCACAGTTTATACAGCGAGCACACCACAGCACAGTTTATACAGCGAGCACACATCACAGTTTGTACAACGAGCACACATCACAGTTTATACAACAAGCACACATCACAGTTTATACAGCGAGCACACCACATCACAGTTTATACAGCGAGCACACCACAGCACAGTTTATACAGCGAGCACACATCACAGTTTGTACAACGAGCACACATCACAGTTTATACAACAAGCACACATCACAGTTTATACAGCGAGCACACCACATCACAGTTTATACAGCGAGCACACATCACAGTTTATACAACGAGCACACATTACAGTTTATACAGCGAGCACACATCGTTTTGATGTCACTCTGCAACCCTTGTAAGAGTTTTGGATGTCACTTGAAAAAAAAAGAAATCTTCATCACTGAGGTATCAGTGACATAGAGTTAGTTATTTTTCTAACTTCCAATAACAGGGATTTGTTACAAAAGATGTTCTTCATTTAATAAACTGCAGTTTTTGCCTGTTCTGTTCTGTTTTTTTACCTCTGTGATAGATCTTCCGCTAAATGTTACTAATGTGTCTAAATATTTATGGACAACCCATTTTATCAGAAATTGCACAATTAACTCAAAAGCACATACAGCTTGTAATAATGCGTATACTCACCATATTAACACCACCTGAAAACTGGTGTGTGCATATTGGACCTTTTATCGCCTTGCCTACTACACCATGATCAAAGAACACTCCCCTGTTTAACATGTAAAAGAAAAAAATTTATAATAATAATTAATAAATTTTTTAATAAAAAAATAATAAGGTAACATTAAGAGCCGGGAGATGTGAACCAGCATTACTGCAAATGGTTATAAACCATAAGCGCTCTGCCACCACATGATAAGAAACACCTGTGTCGCCGCCTGCACGAAACTCCGTAGCTACAGCAACGTTCCTCCATTTACCACAGAGTGTTAACTCTGGTACCCATTTCCTAGAGGCTGGGTGAACCCCTGTGAACCATCTGGTTTCGAACACCGGCCGTGAGCAACAGTGAATCTATGCTGGATTTGAAAGCGAGTCTCCTATCGACTGCACTCAAAGAGAAAGGTAAATTTTAGACCAAATCAGAAACCATTCTGTGGCGCGGCGATTTCAGTCACAGGCATGAGGGACAGTTCTGGTAATCTGGTAATCTTAGTTTCAGCTTCATAGCAAACGGGTCACCCCATGGTTGCTGCGCTCCTGTGCCAGCAAAAAACACACAGAATGTTTATCACAGTCCCTTGTAGAAAGATTGACAGACTGTTGTCTCAGCATATGCACTAGCATACACACGCATTAAAAGCATACGGTAGCCATCTGAAGTGCTAACACAAACAGTCCGACATTAGAAATGCAGTTCATCATGGATGGTAGCACTAGTGACTAGCAGAAGTCACCAACAGATCAGCAGTTGCACACTCGATCAATTTTAATCACCTAATGGCACCACCAATTATGTGACAACCGGCATCGCGCGATTTTCTGAATCAGTCCACAAATGGAGCAAAAATGCAATAGTTAAAAGGTCATTAAGGGACAGTTAATGCTGTTGGGATGTTTAAAAGGAGATTCTGTCTACCTCCCCTCGGGTGCCAGCTGGCTATGTCATGGTTTTACAGATACTCATGCAAGACTCCTGCAACATGTCCCCATCCAGTGCCACGGATAATGGCTCATATGATGAGAATAAACCGAGCTGACAGGGGATCTCAGAGTTAGTGGCCCCTAGAGATGCAGTGCCCAGAAATCCTCTGGCTCTTTATCAGCTCACCCCGAATGCATTAGGGATATCCTCTATCAAAAACTCATCCGGAACATTAGTGAAGCATGTTGGCTGAATATCCTACTCTATGACAAACCTCAGTTCAAACATCTGTCCAAGCCCTACTGACTAGGCTTAAATGTCCGCAAGTCAGGTGTCAGGGTGCTGTAATCAGCAGAGCAGCTCCCTCACTGCTAACTGTTGAGATTCAGCCCTAGAATAAGAGATCTATTTGCAGCTTAGATAAGCAAAATTTACTGTGGACGGTATCTCTGGGTTCTGTCCTAAAACACAGCAGCAAAGTTTTAGATGTCCAACCATCAAATGTCTTTCTGTGAGAGTGGCAAGATTCAGAACTCCGACTATCAAAGGTGTGTGACAGACAAGGTTCAAAGTCCCCTACCATTGCCCAACTAGTCAGAGTGTCAGGACCAAACTGAGAAGCCATTCCTGATGCATGCTTTTCCAAAACTGTCGCATTAGGCGTCTCAATGCAACAATGTTAAAGGTGTCAAACATGCTGAAGGAGATAGCACACATTTGCGTGGTCACAAAAGTTTCAGACCTGTGGGCTGCTCCGGCAGACAAGTTTCAGATGTCCACAACCACTGGCCCCACTCATGGACGTGTCTGGACAAAATGGAGAAGCCATGCCTAATGCATGTTTTTCTGATACTGTTGTGCTAGGTGTCCTGATGCAAGAAAGACAAAGATGTTTAACGTGATGAAGGAGATTGCACCCATCTGTGTGGTCATCGAAGTCCTGGACCTGCACTCTGCTCCCTGTTGATCTCCAAGGAGCGCAGCCCATGATGAGTGGGGAGCTCAACACACGGAGGTGAGATCAAGCAGTCATGTTCAGGACTGATGCTTCCTTGGGTGAGCCCAGGACCAGAACATCATGTACTGGCTCTGCATTTATGGAAGCTTTCTTGGATGGCAGGAAATGACCATGATCTGTCCTTGAGGGCTGTCCGTTTAACGCAGTTACTCCGCACAACATTCACTTCTGCTGATGATATAATTCATGCTGACTGTCGTGTAACACTGAACAAACTGTATTCCATGTTGTCCATTAGTAAAGGCAGTGTCTAGACCATCAGTTCAGCCAGTGTTACCTGGCAGTCAACACAAATAATGTCATCAATTAGATAAATGTTGTACGGAGTAACAGCGGTAGACTGACGGTCAACCTACTTCAGCTTCCTCCCAACGATGTACTCAGTGTCGGACAGTGCCAACATCCACTGCTAAATCTCCACAAACATTCTTCAAATGTTTGTGGACGCGAATTAGGGTCTTGCCTTCAGCATTGAGGAGTTTTATGATATGTTGTTTTAACCAAATGGCTTTGGAAGCAATTTTTAAACTGTTACAGTGATGCCACCTGTTACTGAAACAGTTGGTAATGCTATACAGTGCAGACGAGTGTTTGAGGAATCCTGCTAAATTTACAAATTGCATACAAATGCAATATTTATATAGATGACCCCCATGTGGGTTCCGGGGCCCCATTGTGGGAAAAACAAGAATAGACCCACTGCCTCCCCAAAAGCATGTCGTAAGAGTCGACTAATTGGGGAGCTTCCTTTGAAGTCGGAGTGCATCTGCCGGAGAGGCAAGGAACCAACAGTCTGTATTCAAGAGAATGAGATCTGTAAAACTGATGCACACGCAACACTCAGGTTCTCGAGCAGGACTGCACTTCAGTAGTGTACGAGCAACCAGAACCTTCCGCCAGAGTTTACAGCTGGTGAATGCGAAGATGAAGAAGAAGATATAGATGAAAAAAACATTAGGGGTTATTACTTTTTGACAGCCCTTTGTATATATATAGTGTTTCAGTATTGTAAATGAACTACCGATGAATTCAATCCCATACTTGTGTGGGTTCCAGGGCTCAATTGTGGGGAAAACAAAAACAGACCTACTGCCTCCCCAACAAGCATTTTTTGCAGGAGTCAACTAATTGGAGGCCTCCTTTGAAATTGGAGTGCATCTGCCAGAGTGGGAAAGAACAAGCAACTGTATACAAATAAGCAATGGATGTTCACTTACGTGATGAGTTGTGCATTGTCATTATGGTGATAAGGATTGATTCTTTCCTTGCGGTAGCGGAGAAAGTTCTCCATAGTGTTGTCAGCACTGGTGGTGATGCTAACTAAGTCCCCTCCAGCCCAGACTTCTACACCAACTAGGACTACATAAATGTTCAGCTGTCTGTATAACTGCAAATACAGATTGATAAAAGCAACTTACATGCAGCAAACCTTTTCTTTCAAAAATAGTTTACATATTACCTTTCTATAGAAATAGTTTCCCATGTGGATTTTGGGGTCCCTCTGTGGAAAAAACAAGAACATACCCACTGCCTCCTCAGCAAGCATGTCGTAAGAGATTACTAATTGGGGGTTGCCTTCAAAGTCGGAGTGCATCTGCCTAAGAAGCAAGGAACCAACAGTCTGCGTACAAATAAGTCAGATCTGTAAAACAGATGTACACGCAACACTCAAGTTCTGGAACAAGTCTAAAGTCCAGAGGTGGATGAACAACCAGAACTTTCCACCTAAGTTTGCAGCCGGTTAACGCGAAAAAGAAGAAATATATAAAGTTTGATTGAATGTAGAAAGTAAATAAAGGATTTGTGACCTCTTATAACAGTTCTCTGATTTATTTAATATTAATCAATTTTACCAGGTATCACTACCACCACCAACCCCTCCCCCTTGTCCAATGCTAACTAAAAGAAAATGGGCCATGAACCTGTGGGAATTTCCTGAAAAATCTTTTTTTTTTAAAACATATTAAACAGATCACAAATAAATTTGTTTAAAAAAAAAATACATTTATCACAATTTTTTTATTTATATAAAAATATTTAAGAGTCATAAATAAACATGAACAGAAGGAAGCATGAAATGAAATACATTCCCCTGGGCTTTAAAAAAACAATATGTACTGGGTGGCTCATGCCATAGCTCCTATCACTGAAGCTTATTGGCAAATCGGACATGAACTTGGCTTTCAAAATGCCAAATTCCCCCCCCCCCCCCCCCAATACTATTTTTAGTTGTATTCATATCCTGGCCTATTAAAAACTGTGCAGACCCACACAGCACCAATGGAATTTAACTAAGCCATATATTGGCATTTACGGGGGACTATATCACTACCAGAAGTGACTAAATTCAGTCTTCTCGGAGTGACAGGGTTAAAATTTATTGAACTGTTAGCTGATATTTTACTGATATATTTTCTGCTGCACAGTAGCTCAAAAAACAATCCACTAATAATAAACACTTACACTGCTAACTATGTTGGCAATATCTTGAGACCTCTTGATAACAATATCAGCGACTTTGCCATGGCGCTCAAACTGTGACATAAAATAGAAAAGAGTTATGCACTAAGTGAAGATTAAAAGTGATTAATTAAATAAGACTTTTGAATATATAATTAATAAAAAAAAAACAGTTTTAAGCATTTTTATGCCATAAATGTCCTCTGGAAAAATCCAGTACCCATATGAAAAACATAAAACAAGTAATTATTAGTAATTACAACATAAATAAAATAAAATAAACAAATAGCGCATAATAATAAAAAAAAAATATTAAACAAAAAACAAGAAAAAACATGTCTTTAAAATGATAATACAATGCAACTAAAAGTCTTTTCTTGTGAGTGGGCAATAAGGGTTTTCTGCTCTGAAAATATCTGCCTATTAAATCTCATTTCTTTAAAACACTTTTGAGTTATTCTGCACTAATTACTGTTTTGAAAATTTTATAATGTGTCCTTTTAAACAAATTTAGCCTGCTCCAGAAAAGTGAATATACTGATACAACTCTAGATATTAAAATATACCAGTACCTTGTTTTATCCTGAGCTATGATTGCCAAACTGGATAGCAATGTATCCCTGAAGGTACTGGACACATAAGAGGGTATTGTAGAGTTTATAATCTGCATTAGATTAGAGAGAAAGAGAGAGAGAGACAAAGAGAAAGACATGCACAGAAGCACACCCAAAGTCCCCCTCACACCAACACTCGCACACACACCATTAATAAATACCATTTTCACTTTAAACTGGACACTTTACATATAAAAACTGGACAATTTTCAAACCTTACCCATTTTATATACCTTCAGAAGATCTCCCTCTCTCTCTCTCGTATGTACACAAACACATGCATGCACACACATGCCAATATCCACAAAACCCAGAAACTTACACAGAAATGACAAGTTACAATACAAACTGGTACTTGCTATGGTCAAAATAAATAACATTTTGAGCAGTGTCACACTTACTGTTCTATAGTCATTCACCAGATACAGCTCAACATAGCGAGTGTTGCTATTGCTATCATAGGGCGCCTGAATGCTCCTTTTATGCTGCAGAAAGAGAAAAGGGCACTTGAATCTATGCAAAATGATGATAGCAAATAATAATACTAAAAACTAAAGGAAAACTGTGTACACAAAACACACTGCTCACAAAATGTATCATCATAATCATCATGTGAAGGTAGTTCACATTTTCTAGGCATGTCAAATGGCATCAGGTGGCCAGTTCCCTTCCTCATTACTTTTCCTTCCCAGAAAACAAACAGAATCCATTTTTAATGCTGGGTCGACCCTCACAGCTACACTGGTCAGGGGTCTCCATGGCAAAGTGGTTAAGCCATTTGCCTCACACTTTGATGGTCATAGTTTCGATTTATGGCTGCGTCGTTTGGTTCATGAGTGCAATTATTACAGAGATTCCTGGAGATCATCAGTGGAGCTAGGGAATTTGTGCACTGTGCGGTGCTCTTGGAAAGTCATTAGCTATTTCGCAGAAAGACATGTAGCCGTATGGAATAAAACCTGGTGCAATGAAGTTGATTCTCTCAACTTTAACCTAGTCATAATAAAATCCTGCCACTTATGGAGATTAAACCCGGACCACTGTCTCGACAGATAAGCGCGCTAACCATCTGTCACCTGACATCATCATGTATGCAATTAATAAGTAAGCTTCCAAGTCTTAGACAAGGCTTGTGTTCTGATGATATTTTTCCTACTGTGTCATTTGGTCAGGTCATCTAGGCAATAATTTCTCTATTTCCCCTTTGGCATTTTCCAGTCAAATTTACCAACTGTTACAATATTATAAAATTTGTTTATGGTAAGCGGCATTACAAACACCTCAGCACATGCTGCAGAGCTTCCCCCACAGGAAAACCTGCACACAAAAAACACATGGCCAAAAGGAAGAGGCATCCAGGATAATTTTTGGGGAACCTCGAAGACTTGCTACTGATGTGAAGTTCATGAAGGCAATAAACTGATAATCTGAGGATGTAAAATTGATCGCAAAGAGGATCCTAGTATGGGTTTCGGGAACCCATTGTAGGGAAAAAACCCACTGCCTCCCCCACAAGCATGTCACGGAAGTCGACTAATTGGGAGCATCCTTTCAAGTCAGAGTGCATCTGACCGAGAAGCAAGAAACCAAGAGTCTGCATATTTATAAGCCAAATCTGTGAACCGGATGCGCACGCAACCCTCAGGCTCTGGAATAAGACTAAAGTCTGGATGTGGATGAAGACCCAGAACTTTCTGCAGGAGTCTACAGTCAGTAAACGTGAAGAAACAGAAAACTGTGAAGAACAAGAAATTTGTTTTTGTAAGATGCACTGAAAACAAACTCACTCTTCCAACAACAAACTGATGGCTGTGCAGTCTTGGGTCATGACCTTCTGTTCCTGGAAACAAAACATTAAGTAACATAATTACAGTAAGAAACTGTAAATGTCAGTTTCAGTTAAGGGCAGTTTTAAAAACAATTCTTCATCTTTAAGACAATGTTTTCCATTAGTGAATTTTAAAAATAAAAACATATACAATACACTGTACAATTGAATGCCTAGTATACTTTGCTGTGTCTGGTCAAGTGCACTACCACAGAGTTACATTAACTCATAATGTAAGCACAAAATCCTGCTTTGTGCACACAGAAAGAATATGTGATCAATTTAAATTTGGCAATGTGCTGTGTGTGTCCACATTATTTAAATTCTTCATCTTTTTTTAAAGTCCATGTCATGTGGTAACGCCATCAGATCTTTCAATAGCCTTCTATCTTGTGTACAACCAATCATTTCTGATTGATACTTTTCTCTAAACCATGGTTGTCTAACATCTACTCTCTCTCTCTCATTAATTTTCCTCTGCAAAATTTTTTTCGAAGCTCTCCAGATCTAAATTTTTGCCAAATTTGTGATAACTTAACCTATTTGTGACAATCTGACACCGACTGGTCCTAGAAATTTCTTGAAATTCTGTAGAAAGATCAGAAATTGTGAAACACTGCTTTTCCACTAAGATTTATTCGACTTTTTGAATTAGTTCATTTGTCACACATGAATGTCATCTTTATTTACCCTCATCATGTGAATCTTTTCGCCTATCTCTGAATTTCCTGCACCAATCCCTAACAGAACTGTTACCTATAACATTATCAATGTACACAGATACAATCAATGATGAATCTCAGCGGCATTCTGACATTCTGCTAAAGAAAAACAAAAACAAAAACATCATACCACAAATTTTACAGTTGGTGGAAAAGGCAGTAAAGGTGCTTACTTTAATAATTTTGCAATCTGTGAACCATTGAACAAATACAAAAGTAGGCTGATGTATATTGAGCTAAAAGGCTACTGAATGATATAAGGAATGAACGGTTGAGGTTAATTTTCATGAGCCAATTGGAGGTTGATTTTGGAATAGCGCTCGTATATATCTTACAATTATTTATGATCTTCCCAAAAAAAGAGCATAGAAAAATTTGTTTTTAAAAACTATACTTTAACAATACACAGAATATCTCATTTTTATTTTACAGCTAAATAAATTCTCCCCATAAAAATACACAAGAACAAACAATGCCCTTCTAAGGCTATGGTGCCAGTGCTCTGGATGAAACCACTGCCTTATTGTGCACAATGTTCAGCCCTGAATTCAAACAAGCAGTTTCTTTGTTCAATAGAACATTATGCATAGAAGTTTCATGAACCAGGGGACACCTTAAGAAATGAAATTAATATCCATAAATATAAATTATAAGTTTACTGATTACAAGTGTTGAACTAAGGACTGACATCACTGCACTTGGGACATTCAAATAAATGCCTTGTCCTCATTTTCAGCAGCTAGTGAATAGTTCCAACTCTGATTCTGACAGATGCAGTTTGTTTGTATGTCCATTTTGCCTTTTCTCTGAGTGCAGAGTGTCAACCAGATGCCCCAGTCACTCCTAGCTGTACCATTCTCTCCAGACCATAAGGATTTATCAGTTAACTGATTACTAACTTAAGAATTAACATCGCAGCCTACTGGGCATCCCCACAGATGCCCTGTCTTCAGCAGCAAATGTCTTAGGGTGTAAAAGCTGACTTCCAGTAGCAAACTGGTTGTGCACACATTGTATTCTTCCTTTCACATGTTCTTTCTTGCTAGATCCACACTTAATTCCTAATTCATGAAAACTCACATGTGCTGTTTCATCTAACACTGTATCTTCAATCAGCATTCATTTAAACTTAAAAGTTAAGAAGTACTAACCACATTTAAAGGGTAGATGCCTCTGGTCTGAGCTTCGGTACACTCTATGAATACTTCCATTGATCGGCTCTATATGATATGTGTCCAGTCTGTTAGTGATATAACCCCTGCAAAATAATTTGTATACATAAAAAATTTTATTTTTAATAATTTATGTCTAAAAAATAAATTTTGTAATGCACTTTCTTAAGTTCCATGTGGAGTACAGGACTGGAATAATTACCTCACATTAATTTCAACTATAAACGCCAATTTCTAATGTTCCTAGATAATTTCAGTTTGCCTCTTTTGTTTCAAAATCTCAGTTTATTTTATTTTATCAACTTGTGTTTTCATGTTCAGGACAATTACTGTTACATTTTTGGGTTTGTCATACACACCATATTCTCTTTTCTTTCAAGAACTTTCTGCTACTGATGATGATATTTCATAGTTCAGTATTTATTCATATATTTGGTTATCTGAAATGAAGTAGCTGTTAAAGATCCTCTTGGCAAAGTCCTACTGTTTGACAATTATATTCTCTTCATCATCATCATGTAGCAGGTCCTTTGCAGAACGTCGTTCTCATCATGGTCTGCCTGAAATAAACTTGGTCTCACCAGCTCTCCCGCCTCATGTACTTTCTTTCTCAAGGAGTCACTGATATCCTATGCCCATCTTCGTGCTGGTCAGCCCTGCCCCTCCTCCCTGGTATCATTCCTTCTGCTATTATTTTTTTCCAATCCACCAAGGTGCTTGATATGACCAAAAGATGCTGTTTATTAGCCAGTCTTCCTTAGTGTTCAGATCTTTTCTTCTTTGTCCAATGTATTCTGAGAATCTTTCTACAGCATTTCAGCTCAAAAGCCTAGATCATCTCATAGACTTTTAACGCTGTTTAATCTTATATTTTCTTATCTATACTATTTATGAACTATACTGTGTGCACTAGCTAGTGCTGACCTGATTACTTTTAAAGAAAACAACCGCCAGTTTAAGATTGTTGGCACCTGTGTATTGTTTCAACCAGTGTTCTTCAACCTATTTACAATTGCGGGCCACCAAAACATGGGAAATGGTTTTTGCAGCCCACCTGACAGCTAACCAAACATAGAAATCAAATCAAATGTAGGTAACAGTTTTTTTGTTAAATCTGATGTCACATAATGACAAGTTTCAGTTGATGCAACATTTTTTTTATTCTCATCCTTGATGTTTTTACCCAATAGACTGCAGTCCTGGAAGAGAGATCCTATCCTATCCCATTACACGATTATCAAAAAAAAATTTGCGGCCAACCTGCATTTTTCACAGCCCACCAGTGGAAAAACACTGGTTTAGATGGTAATTCTACACGTGAGTTTTTGGGAGCAAAAATGAAAGACCCAACATACCTCAACAAGTGTGCGACTAATTAGGGTTTTTCCTTCAAAGTCAGAGTGCATGAGAAATGAAGACCAAACAGTCTGCATATAAGTAACCCAGATCTGTAAAACAGATGTACATGCAAAACTATAATTCTGAAGAAGGCTAGTCCAGAAATGGATGAACAACCAGAACTTTCCACTGGAGTGTACAACCGGTGAATGCTTAGAAGAAGAAGAAGATCCAGTAGTGGCGATGCATTCTCCCATTCTTCTTGTGCTGGCACTTGTGCAGTAGATATTAGGGTATCTTGTTATGTTCATTCTTCTTGTGCTGGCACTTGTGCAGTAAATGTTAGGGTATCTTGTTATGTTCATTCTTCTTGTGCTGGCACGTGTGCAGTAAATGTTAGGGTATCTTGTTATGTTCATTCTTCTTGTGCTGGCACGTGTGCAGTAAATATTAGGGTATCAAGTTTTATAAATTCTTCTTGTGCTGGCACTTGTGCAGTAAATGTTAGGGTATCTTGTTATGTTCATTCTTCTTGTGCTGGCACTTGTGCAGTAAATGTTAGGGTATCTTGTTATGTTCATTCTTCTTGTGCTGGCACTTGTGCAGTAAATGTTAGGGTATCAAGTTTTGTTCATTCTTCTTGTGCTGGCACGTGTGCAGTAAATGTTAGGGTATCTTGTTATGTTCATTCTTCTTGTGCTGGCACTTGTGCAGTAAATGTTAGGGTATCTTGTTATGTTCATTCTTCTTGTGCTGGCACTTGTGCAGTAAATGTTAGGGTATCTTGTTATGTTCATTCTTCCTGTGCTGGCACTTGTGCAGTAAATGTTAGGGTATCTTGTTATATTCATTCTTCCTCTGCTGGCACTTGTGCAGTAAATGTTAGGGTATCTTGTTATGTTCATTCTTCCTCTGCTGGCACTTGTGCAGTAACATCTTGTTATGTTCATTCTTTTTGTGCTGGCACTTGTTCAGTAAATGTTAGGGTATCTTATTATGTTCATTCTTCTTGTGCTGGCACTTGTGCAGTAAATGCTAGAGTACCTTGTTATGTTCATTCTTCTTGTGCTGGCACTTGGGCAGTAAATGTTAGGGTATCAAGTTTTGTTCATTCTTCTTGTGCTGGCACTTGTGCAGTAAATGTTAAAGTACCTTGTTATGTTCATTCTTCTTGTGCTGGCACTTGTGCAGTAAATGTTAGGGTATCAAGTTTTGTTCATTCTTCTTGTGCTGGCACTTGTGCAGTAAATGTTAGAGTATCTTGTTATGTTCATTCTTCTTGTGCTGGCACTTGTGCAGTAAATGTTAGGGTATACTGTTATGTTCATTCTTCTTGTGCTGGAACTTGTGCAGTAAATGTTAGGGTATCTTGTTATGTTCATTCTTCCTCTGCTGGCACTTGTGCAGTAAATGTTAGGGTATCTTGTTATGTTCATTCTTCCTCTGCTGGCACTTGTGCAGTAAATGTTAGGGTATCTTGTTATGTTCATTCTTCTTGTGCTGGCACTTGTGCAGTAAATGTTAGGTTTCTTGTTATGTTCATTCTTCCTGTGCTGGCACTTGTGCAGTAAATGTTAGGGTATACTGTTATGTTCATTCTTCTTGTGCTGGCACTTGTGCAGTAAATGTTAGGGTATACTGTTATGTTCATTCTTCCTCTGCTGGCACTTGTGCAGTAAATGTTAGGGTATCTTGTTATGTTCATTCTTCCTCTGCTGGCACTTGTGCAGTAAATGTTAGGGTATCTTGTTATGTTAATTCGTCTTGTGCTGGCACTCGTGAAGTAAAGGTTGGGTATATTCTCACATGTACAGTTTAATCCCTATTTGTGAATTAAGCTTATTAAATTGATCACATGTTAACATTTTATATATGCTCTGCAAAGCTTCTGAACATGATCCCTTGCTCCCTGTTGGTAATCATTAAAGCTTCCATGGTTCAGTATGCACAAATGATGTAAGACATCATTACAATTCTGTTACTAAGTTTCACAATAATTTTCTAGCTTTTGCTACACAGAGTTACTGATCTATATACCCGCCTGCATAAGGAACAAACAGTACATTCTTCAACTAACCTCAGCCCATCACATGTGCTCAATGCTGCCTCAGACTCTGGGAAAAATCGCAACTTTCCATGGTAATAGCAATGGTTCCTCCTCTGACAACATAAAAGAGCAGTTCAGACAAGCATATGAAGACACAATCAAGTAGCGAACATAATTTTGTAGAGACAAATTTATGTGTATATTCTCTAGTTTCATCTGTCTTTTCATTCATACTTTTCGACATTTGGTTTGTGGAAATCAAGCAACAGTTTTCCCCAAGTAGGTAGTGGGGCCCTATTTTGGAGGAAACAAAACAGACGCACTGTTTCCCTAACAAGTGTGTTGTAAATGGTGACTAATTAGAGTTGGGTCGCTGGAAGTCAGAGTGCATCTTCCTGAGAGGCAAGGAATCAACAGTTTGCATACAAATAATCCAGATCTGGAAAAGAGATATACACTCAAGACTCAAGTTATGAAAGATCAAAGTCCAGAAATGGATGATCAATCAGAACTTTTTACTGGAATTACCAGCCAGTAAAAGTGGTGAAGAAGGAGGAGGAGGAAAAGAAACAACAGTGTGAATTTTCTATATCGTTATAATTACTCTGATGTCATATTCTACTGTTCTGCTGTTTGTTCCTATTGATGTAGACTGCAGCTGAAACACTTACTTATTGTCCTTCCTTGCTGCTTTGTTTTTGTGTGTTTCAGTCCAGCTAATCAGGTTGATCCATTTACATGTCACTAATAGATCATTTAAAGCTCAGTGGCTTTAGAATCATCAGCTTACAAAACACATTCTGGAAGGTCTTGGCAAAGATAGCTGCTGTAAAGCTTCAAGAATTATTGGCAAGCGGGAAGCTTCTCCCAAGAGGTCTGGGAAGCTACAGGCCAGGAAAGGATACTTGGGCAAATGCGGCCACTTTTGCTTTTGACGTCTATGGAGGGTTCCAGAACAGACAGGAAACTATGGCGGCAGCACTGGATCTGAAGGATGCTTATAACAGAGTAAGATACAACATCTTGATGACTGCACTGTAGAAGAAAGAGGTCAGTCCATGGCTGGTAAATTATATTGCAGCTATCCTGTATTCACTTCGGGTTGCTCTCCGACTGCGCTCATGGACCTCAGAACCATGCAGTTTGGCCCCAGGACTGCCACAGGGATCTGCCATCTCGCCTGTGCTCTTTAACGTGTATAAGAGCAAGACTGTAAGCCTAGAAGCACCAGGAGTTGGAAGGATACTGACTTTTGTGGATGATATACTTGCATATAGGTAGGGGGAAGAGAGGGGACAAAGACAAACAGCCCGGGAGCTACAAGCAACTTTAGATAAAGTGACTGAGTGGTGTATAAAAATGAGGGCTGTCGTCCACCCAGAAAAAGCGTCTTTTTTGTGGTGTTCTCTAGACACCAGGATCGTTAAAGCTAATGTCTCAAGTCTCACGATAGATGGTAGAAACGTCAACAAAGAGAGCAAACTAAAGTATCTGGGAATTACATTTGACAGGAGCCTGTCTTTTAAGGACCATGTGGAGAGTGTTGTGACATGATGCCAAAAAAGGACTTAGTGCACTTAAGACTTTGGCTCCAATTAACATAGAGCAGAGAATGCTTTTCATTCTATATCTATATCTATAAAACTTAAAATTGCTCCTCTGATTAAAGATCACGGTGAAAACATATTTAAAAAAAAAGGGTAATAGTGGATGCTACATTTAAAACTTTGACTCTGCACTGTTGTTTTCTTTCCATACTGGATTGTGCAAGCTGAAGACACAGACTTGTGTGCAGGCTTGATAAATGTGTGCGAGGTGAGGAGCGGGTCAGAGTGTCCCAATTTCAAACTTGTATAGGGTTCTTATCACTCTGGGTCGAGAGTGCAAGGACTGGCCAGCTGGCGCTGCAGAATCAGAAGTTCAACAAATGATTCATGACAATTCCCGCCCAAGTGATGTGGTTATCTATACAGATGGCTCTGTGTTGAGGGATAGACGAAATTCATAGGGGTTCATAGCAAAAGTGAATGGACGTCGCTTGGTGCAACAAAGCCCTTCTTATGATTTCACGTCTAGTTTTAGAATGGAGGTGGAGGCAGTCACTGTTGCTTGAGAATCAGCTGTACACACATGTCGTGATTGTAACCGACTCAAAAAGCATCTTGAGAAAGTTGGAGACAGGCATGCTCCGTGCAGAGCGGCAAGCATCACTTCAGAGATTCCGGATAGTGAGCATCCTTTAAATATTTTCTTCAGGTCATGCCAGTGTATTGGGAAATGAGCACTCAGACTTGCCAGTTCTACAGATGTATGACAAGCTAGATGTTGTGAGGGCCCTCTGGGAGTGACTGAACAGTGCGGAAGTGCAAATAGATCATTAGGGTCTGGGGTGAATGGCTCTGTGAGGAGTTACCAGGGGATCTGGCTGATGCTCAACACTCAAGGGAAAGGCGAGACTCAAAATCAAAATACAACCTGCCAACTGCCCGTACAAATGTGAATGTAGAAGAAAAACAACCCCATATTCTTACAGTAGCAAGTGCCTGCTATTCATATGCCACAAATTAAAAGATATTAAAAAAACCAGTTACTGTTACCATCAAAATCGGAACTCTTTGTTTGCTGCTGAAGATGGGGACGGAGTGCTTATGGGAGTGACCCGAGTGCTATGATGTCGATTCTTAATTCAACATTCAAGCCCAGCATATTTCACTGTATTTCGACAGGTGCATACAAGAGTAAAAACTACATATAATTTATAAAACAAATAAGTAGATCTTTTGAAATGAAATACAAAATCAACTACACTAAAAGGGAACTGGCTGCTGTACCAGGACAAACTTGTTCATAACCAGTGTCTCTTTGTCTGCACATATCAACAATAAACTGCAATGTATTCCATGTGCCTTCTCTGTTCAAATTTTCAGTAGGGAAACTGCTTTCAGCCACCAGATATTTTCTAGGACATACCAACTATCTGAGAAGGAAAGATCGCGAAGCAGAAAACTCATCATCCTATCTCAGTATGATAATGACCTACAACATATATCTGGTTTGAGGTTTGAACAAAGGATCAACATCATGGCACATGAGCGCTCCGTTCTACTTCTAGCTCAAGTCTGAGTCCGAAGAAGCTCAGCACAGAGCACAGGCTCTGTAGCACCGGCGAGGATCCTGAAATACTTTGGCTAGATTTTAAACTCCAAATTTTGCCCGGGCAGCGCCGTTAGGCCATTCTTTTCAATTTCCAACTGCCAAGGGATTTTTTTTTTACTTGCGCAACAAGGCACGCGGGCGTCCGATCTCACTACACAGAGACCGGGGGAATTACTAGAGTCCAAGCCGACGGCACAAAATCCTAGCCCTTACAGGGGATTGAACTTCTAGCACTCGAAGTGGACACCATGCCTCAAGACCACGCTGACCCCAGAACATGTATCTGTTACGCACTACAATTTTGTGTATACAAATGCTGTAATCTCTAAGATTGTATAGCTAACAGAATCAAAGCTATTTCCAACAACAAAACAACATACACACAGACTCCTAATTGTGCCTGCCACATCAATACTCACACGTGATATATGATTTGTTTCTGCACTCTGTCCATGAGAGTGAAACACTTTTTCAACATAAGCTCCAGAGAAAAGCTTCCTGGTGAAACAGAAAATGTCAAATATGATCGTAAAACACTTTCAAATATGTAAATTAAATTTCTATTCTGAGTTTTCACATTTCTGCACTAGCATTTACTGAGGTTAAAAAAAAAAAAACCATAATATTTATGTTCTATGCACGGCTGATTATTTTCAAAAACATTTCTATAGAATGAAATGAACAAAAAATATACAAAATAATTCAGTTTTATATATTAAAAATAAAAAAATAAAAACGCACAGAACAGTCAGAAAAGGCAAATAATGTTAAGGAAAAAATCCAGATAAATATTTAACTACCATATTATCTTGTCTTATTTTAGTCAGCCGTAACAACGAAAAACTCAATACGCCTGACAAAATAGGAACCAACAGTCTGCATATAAATAAGCCGTCGTGTGTGAAACTGATGGATGTACACATAAAACTTAAGTTCTGATATCAAGATCAAAGTCCAGAAGCAGGCGAATAACCATAACTTTCTGCCAGAGTTTGCAGCTAGCTGCTGAACGCTATGAAGAAAAGACTACTAATACTAGCAATAGTAGCAGTAGCAGTAGTATTAGCGGTAGTAGAAGTAGCAGCAGCAGCAGCAGTAGTAGTATTAGCAGTAGTAGTAGTATTAGCGGTAGTAGTAGTATTAGCGGCAGTAGTAGTAGTAGCAGCAGTAGCAGTAGTAGTAGTAGTATTAGCGGTAGTAGTAGTAGCAGCAGTAGTAGTAGTATCAGCAGAAGTAGTAGTTTCAGGGGTAGTAGTAGAAGCAGCAGCAGTAGTAGTAGTAGTAGTAGTGGTAGTGGTAGTAGTAGTAGTAGTAGTAGTAGTAGTAGTAGTAGTAGTAGTAGTAGTAGTAGTAGTAGTAGCAATAGTAACAGTAGCAGTAGTGGCAGTAGTAGTATTAGCGGTAGTAGTAGTAGTAGTAGTAGTAGTAGCAGCAGAAGTAGTAGCAGCAATAGTTACAGTAGCAGTAGTGGTAGTAGTAGTATTAGCGGTAGAAGTAGTAGTAGTAGTTGTAGTAGTAGTAGTAGCAGCAGTAGTAGTAGTAGTAGTTGCAGTAGCAATAGTAACAGTAGCAGTAGTGGTAGTAGTAGTATTAGCGGTAGTAGTGGTAGTAGTAGTAGTAGTATTAGTAGTTGTAGTAGTAGTAGTAGTAGTAGTAGTAGTAGTAGTAGTAGTAGTAGCAGCAGTAGTAGTAGTAGTAGTAGTTGCAGCAATAGTAACAGTAGCAGTAGTGGTGGTGGTAGCACTTAAGTAATTCAAGCATGATTTTGTGGAACCTCATATTTTTTTAGTCGTTTTAAATACAGTGAAACCTTAAAATGGGAATTTAATCTGTTCCATGACGGAATCGTAAGGTGAACAACTCGAATCCTCATAACTATTTCTCCAAAGTGAAATTATTGAAGATAATTTTAGTTCGTTCCAGCCCTTAAAAAAAAAAAAATCACCCTATAAGTTTCAATATGACAACTGCGCTTGCATCAAAGCGTACTTTCAGGTCTAAACCGTAAAGAAAGTGCAGAAACTGAAATGAGCCTGTGCTTCTAGCAGGAGTGTCGACACATTAAAAAAAAAAAAAACAGGGAGCGCGTTAACCACTTTGCAAAATTTTTAGCGGGGGGGGGGGGGGGGGGGTCTGAATGGGCCCAAGTCTTGTTAAACTGAGTATAAATAATGCCGTGACAGGTAAAAACAAAATACATGTATTCGAGATAATATATAGGTACTTTTCTTTTAGCTCACCCTATCTCGGGGACTCCGAGATTTCGTGGGGGGGGGGGGGGAGAGGGAGGTTTGGGTTAGTGTTAGTAGGTGTTTATTTCACGCTCTAAACCCCCTATACTATTATTGGAACTCCTATGAAAACTCAGAGTCCCCAAGATAAGGTGAACTGGGAAAAAAAAAAAAAAAACCAATATAACTGATCAAACGTATACTTGAAAAAAAAAAAAAGAACCAATATAACTGATCAAACGTATACTTGAAAAAAAAAAAGAACCAATATAACTGATCAAACGTATACTTGAAAAAAAAAAAAAGAAGCTATTCTTCTATACATGGCTGGGGAGATGGGGTGGGTACGAGGCACTCAACCAAGTGGAAATTATCGGGGAAGGGGGGGGGGGGTGCATCTCGGGGGCACTGAGCTCCTCCCCTCCCCCTTTCAGGTGCAGCACCTGTTGTTGACTCGCTCACCAACACCTCGATAATCAAGCTCTCGGTCGTTTGCTCACTACGACTGTCACAGTCACACTACGCTGCCAGCTTTTAATTCAGCCCTTTCCTTCTCCGCACTAGGTCTGTATGTTAACAGACATGTCATGCGCAGATAAACGGCGCAACAGGCAGAGACATTCTAGATAACTGGAAGTAGGCCAGAAAACAACATTCATAACAAACACTGGCGTATTATAGAAGCAGGCCAGAAAACAATAATCATAATAAACAACGCTGATGTTCTACAGAATGCAGGCGCTGACGTTTTACAGAATGCAGGCGGCAGACCTGCCAGCCGCCATCCCAAGCCGCACCCTAGGTGGCTGACTAACTGAAGGGTTGGTTATCAAAGGCAGAGTGACTTATCTATATTTAAAATATAGCATCGCAAATGTACGTGTGGTTAATTTAGGTCAGGTGTGTTACTGATACCGCCGATCAGTTTCTACTAACCATGCTCTCTCTCTCTCTCTCTCTCTCTCTCTCTCTCTCTCTCTCTCTCTCTCTCTCTCTCTCTCTCTCTCTCTCACTTTCTCTCACACACACAAAAATACGACATCTAATTTTCAGTCTCCAATTTGTTTTTCTCAGACCAATCACCACCCGAACTCTCTCCCAATCTCTCCACATCGTATATATCTACACACACACACTCTCTCTCTCTCTCTCTCTCTTCGCTTTCTGGAATACAATTTTTCGTTATTTGAAGCCCTACTCTTGCTCTTGCCAGGGCCGCAATATAGCCCGGCCATAAATATGGTCTAAAGCTAAACGCGGTTTCTGGGACCTCTCCACGGGTGATCCTCATCCAAATGGTCGCACTTTGTGTCATCGGGTGTTTATCGCTTGTGTGATATCCTGGTGGGGTAAAAGAAGATAGATCTCTCTCTTTCTCTCTCTCCATCTCATGTTCAATATTTAGCTTGCTTTTCTCTGACCACATTTTCAGTCTCTAACCCGCTCCCTTTCACTCTCTTAAACACATCCACACCATTAATTTTCAGTCTCCAGACTGTTCTCTCTCTAAAAAAAAACACAAAAAAAAAACACACACATACAAACACACACACATACTGGTCACAACAATGTAAATAAAGGCCGCTGTTTCATGTAACATGTTGCAAAGATGGTCTTCTTTTGTGCTTTATCCCACAAACCCCCCCCCCCCCTCACAAGCCGTTGACTATCGTTCACCATCTCCTGCATTGCCTTCTCTATCATTATCAAATTACTACTCTGTCGTAAATTCTCCTCTCTGGTTTTAGGTCCCGTTAGATATCTCTTGTTCTGTGGAAACGACATTCTAGTTTCCTATTATCCCGTTTTCTCGACGGGTGTCACATCCAGGGTAAAATGAATCACCCCTTTATTCGCAGTAGGTTGTTTAGTTTTCTCCCAAAGAACCGAGTGATTATGTACCAATGTTTCAATCTTTATATTCTGCACACAAACCAGTTTGTAGCTTACAGGTAGTTTTTTGTTTGTTTTTGTTTTAGTTGTTGTTCGTGTTTCTGATTTAACATTACAAGAGACTAAGTCTGCAACCAGGTTTAATTTGTTTTGATTTCTAAAGATTTCCTAGTGCTATCAACTCTATTCCAAGAGTCCATCTTGATAAAATTTGAGAGATTTAAATAATTCGGTAAACTGATAACCTCGGGTGAGAGAAATAGACTAGATATAAAGAACAGAATATGACATGGTCTCTATACTGGAGGAAAAGATTGAAGGAAGCAAGATGTACATAGCGATAGAACTGGGAAATAGCAGTAAAAGCTGGACAAACAGCAGTCAGTACAACCAAAAGGAGACAGTGTCTGAACAGCCACTATAGCCAACATTACATTGGGAGACAGCAGCTGGTTGATTCACCCTTAATTGTCATTAATTCACGGGCCTGTTGTGTCATTATATGTCCTATAGGGTTTGCAGTCTACTTCCCCTATTATGTTCCATCCTGTGCAATCATTTCATTCGTCTACACACATTTTGTGCAACACACATCACTTGACTAGTTAAAAAAAACATTAAACCGGAATGGCATCCTTTCCTGCAAGTTTCTGTAGCAAATAATGTTTTACAGGGTGGAGGTGTTGGCCCTTTGCCAAACTCTCTTTCTTTCTCCCCCGGGCTTAGGACCGGCATTGACGAACATTTATATGTTGTTACTCCTTGTTTTTATGTTGGCGATGCAGTAAGGAAAAGGGGTAGGGTCTAAAACCCAATGCTTTTATAGGGCAGGACTGTGTTCAACAAATTACTCAGAGGTCAAAATGCCCAAACCCCAGCATGGACATATCATTAATACAATACAACTGGCAATGAAGCGCAGTCAGCTTGCTAGGCCTCTGTGCGAGGGATTCGGCCCGCAGGCCGATATCTGAATAGCCCTGCTTGAGGGTCATACAAATAGCAACGAGCTAAGCAGATTAAGCTTCATCGGCGATCTGGTTGCACACTTGCTCGCCGGTAGACGATTTCGTCGTCGGTCAGGACAGTATTTGGGTCAGTCTCTTTTAATCGCATCAATACAGCAAGGGTACTTTTCATGGCTACTTGGTGGCGAGCAATGCTAAGTCATTTTATATGGCGCACATAAACCTAGTCACTATTATAACCTAAAGCTCCCCCTTTAGTTATGCTGGCTGAACGAGACAATTTTTTTTTCAAAACAAGCCAAGCCAAGTTACGATTTTTAAATTTACTTCTGGTAGGGAAAAATAATTCCACCACGTTGCCAAGGTTTTCAAGCCAGATCTTATGAATGAGAGCCGAGCCTTCTAA